AAACCCGGCAGACATGATGCCGTGCTGCTGGAGCAATCGCTGAATGATGCTGCCCAAGGCTTCTGCTCGGCACCGTTGACCCAGGCACAGCTCCTACGAGAACTACGAGGAGAACCATTCCGCCTCATCCCCCGATGTGTGATTGTTCAATCCTCGGGCAAAAAGCGGATCATTGACAATGGAGATACAGGAGGCCAGTCGGAGAGGTCGTCGGATTGGAACAAATTGGTGCTATGCTCGCCGTTGCGCCCAGCACAACATGTGGGGGCAGTTGCCTCACTGTTGACAGATGAACAGTGGCACACCCTTACGACTGCTGACGAGTGGCAGTCAGGAGGGGAAGATTGGTGGCCGAACGCGTATCGGCATTCCCCTATCAGTCAGGCAGAGAGCCGCGGCTGTATCGTCTGCTTCTGGCATGCTGAGCGGGGGGAACCCGCCTTTCAGGTGTATTCATCCCTCCTCTTCGGCCTTCCGCTCGCGGTTACATCGTTCAATCGGTATTCACGCCTCATTGAAGCACTGGGCCGACGGCTTACATACAGTCTGGTGTCACTCTATTTCGATGACGCCCACATCGCGGACCTCCAGTCAGGCCTCGGCTCTAGCCAACAAGCTTTCTGTCAGTTGAACACCTTATTAGGTACTCCGTTTGCCGAGGAGAAGAAACAGTTGATGCAGCCTACCGGCACCTTTCTGGGCCTTGATCACGACTTTACGAACCTCAGTCGGGGCTTCGTGACGTTTTGGGCCCGCGATCGCTTGATTCAGAAGACAGCTGCGATGATTACCGAGGCACAGACACACAGCAGCCTGTCCTCAGGCCAGGCATCCAAGCTCTACGGCGTGCTCAACTTTCTCGAGCAGGGCATGTACGGTAGGTTGGGATGCGCAGGTCTGGCAGCCATTAAAGCACGCCAGACAGAGCGCAACCGTGACCTCACTCCAGAGCTGCATCGCAACTTCGATCTAATTCACTCCATCCTTCGCCACCGACCTTGTCGAGAACTTCCCGTGAGACCGTCCGAATGTTTGCGGTTTGTTGTAGCCTCTGACGCAGCTTTGGAGGAACCAAAGCAAGGCACCGGGGGATTTTTAATTGTCTGGCACGATCCGGTGGGACCGGTTCGGGAAGCCTTCATCGCCAACATTTCTCCGGAAGTGTACCAGCTGTGGGAGCCTGGCGATAGGCAGATAGCCCAGTTGGAAATGGTGATGATCATTTATGCCCTCACATATCGGGCGCAGGCCTTTCGAGGTCGTCGAGGCATCTGGCTGATCGACAACGTCGCTAGCCTCATGTGTCTGATTCGGGGCCGTTCCCAGTCACCCGATCTGGAACGCATGTGTGGTTTGATTCATGTCATGCTGTACGCTTTGCGTACCTGGATGTATTGGGAATACATTCCGTCTAAGAGTAATTGGGCCGACGCCATTTCAAGACTAGGCTGGTCCGATCCGTGGTGGCGAACCAACGGATTCACCCCTTTTTCCGTCTCTTGCCCTCTCTGCCTTTGGCACCTTCCGCTGCCCGCAGTGATCCGAGTCGTAGAATTTCTCTAAGTGCGTTGGGAGGATTTGAAGTGCATTGGGAGTGGTTTCCGGAGTGACCGGAAGGATACCACAAGGGTCTGATTGTGTCAGGCCTGCTGATGCAGGTAACCCAACGCAATTATCCTGCTGGACATGGCAGGTTGAAGACCATACTGGCAAGATGACTGAGGAAAAAGGGATTGTGTGCGGACCACCGTAGCTACGAGAGTCAACCTTGGAAAGAAATGTAAACATGTTTCAGGTCTGGCAGGCTTGGGTGAACATGTAGTCATTACTGCCATAGGTTTGAACCAACGAATGTTTTGGCTCAAGTGACTTGGCCAAAATAGCGTTTGTTCTCTCTTTTTCCCACCCAGCCCACCCTGGTGTAAGGGCCCCCGGTGGGGTCACTCTTACCCTTGAAGGGCTAGCCGGCTAGCCTGGGGCTTGCGCAGGGATCTGCGATCTGGCACAATCTAGCGGAGTGACCGCTTTCAGACCACCTTTAAAGTACCCCAGGGGGGGGGAGTGGTTTCCGGAGTGACCGGAAGGATACCACAAGGGTCTGATTGTGTCAGGCCTGCTGATGCAGGTAACCCAACGCAATTATCCTGCTGGACATGGCAGGTTGAAGACCATACTGGCAAGATGACTGAGGAAAAAGGGATTGTGTGCGGACCACCGTAGCTACGAGAGTCAACCTTGGAAAGAAATGAAAATAGAAAAAGTACGCAAAGTACGAAACCAACATTGCACTTTTTAAAGTACGAAAATATGACGTACGAAAAAAAACAAGAAATACAAAAGAAATATAAAATTCCAAAAAATAGGAAAATACAAAACATACAAAGCTACAAAATTAATACGAAAAATACGACCCGCCAACAAAAATACAAAAATACGTCCCGCAAAAACACAAACAAAAACGCACCAAAACATACGACCCGCGAAAACAATACAAAAACCAACACAAAATGTTCCGAAACTGGTTGCGAAACCAAAATTTGCAATTTTTCGTTTTGCTTAGAGGCCGACGAGGGTGCTTGCTGAATTTGCGGCCCGACGGCCTTTGCTTTTTTATTTGCCCCAATGCAATCAGACAGCGAATTCGCGAACATGTTTCTTGACAGGGCATAAAAAGGACAACGTGACTAAACTACTCAATTGGCTGTGGTTGCTATGTGCATTGTGGCCCTTATTTGAGTATGATGAGTTCGGATGTAGAACAATGCAAAAAAGTTGCGTTTCCGGGTTGTATTTTTTGTGCTTTTGTTTTTTAAATAATTTTTGGGTTTCTTAGCCTCTACCTGGAAGGAGGGGATTCAACTCTAATTGTTACATGGATGACAGAACTGCTGTGGCCAAAAGCTTGGCGTCGCTTCAGCGCTAAAACTCAGTTTTGGGTTAGAAACCCAAATGCAAGCGCGGAGTTTACAGCCAGTGGTATTGAAGCCACTTCAACAATCCAAGTCCTTGGGGTTAGTTTGGGAGCTTTTTTCTCAGGCCGAGAAAATCTGTCGCCGCATCCGCAACTTGCCGATCTCCATGTGTTTGAAGAAGGCTCTGGCGCAAGGTGTAGCCACCCGTAAGGTGGTCTGGGGCATGCTCTTGAACGGGCGACGTGATGCTACCATGTCTCGAGCTGGTGCTATCGTTGTCAGTGAACCATTGGTGGACTTGCCACAACTAAGTTGTACCGGAAGCGGAACAGTCCGCAGACTTGTCCTTACGCTGATGGCTCGCGTAGGATCGGGTTCCCTGGCTCAGATGGGTCAGATTCGGGCAGAAGAAGCTGCCTGCGAGAAAGGAACCGACGCGGCGAGAATGCTGCTTTGCAAGAAGCTGCCGGGCCTGGTGATCCTGGTGGCGGTGACTAACCCCCGTCGGCGGGGACATGGCCGCCAGTGGCGCCTTACCCTGCAGCTGTAACCTCTACCCCTCTTACCGAGTCGGGGATGCGCTGGGGAATGTTTCGGCTCATGGGTTGCCATCTTTAAGCGTGCTTTGCATGGACTTGTTTAGCCGACTCGTGAATGTTTGTTCGCGCGCGTTGCAGTTCAGTGAGTTGCAGTTGGTTTGAAACACTACCAACCCAATAGTGTCATAAAAGCTGGGAAGAGGTGGCGCGCAACACACAAAGATCAGGGACAAAAGGTTGCGCGGGTCAAAGAAAAAGGTCCTCTACAACATTTTGGTCCCCCAATCACAGTAGCATTTTTTTGTAGCACGCAAGGGCTTACAATCAGTTTCAACGCTGAGGTGGTTGTTGACACTTTCGCAGAGGTGAGGGAAAGTGATGTTATGAACTTGGCGGAAGAGATGGAACATGCTTCTGAGGCCGACAAAAAGTTCTTACAACGGATTTTCGACAGAATGGACGTAGAGCGAAAAGGCCTGCTTTCCTTCGACGACATTATGGCGGGTGCCCGCACTGATCCTGAATTCCAAAGTCGGCTTCGGGTCATGGACATTGATGAGGTTGATCTTCAGCAACTTTTTGAGATGATAGATGTAGATGGTTCTGGTGCTATAGAAGCAGAAGAGTTTATCGTGCCTTTGAGCCGCTGGGTGCGGGATTCCAAAACGGCACCTCGTTTCATCAAATACAACTTGATGCATGCCATCAATCAGCAGGAGGAATTGGTTGTGAAATTGGATCGGCATTTTCACATTTTGCACACACGCATGGGTGAGTTAGAAGAAAAACTCGACCAGAAAGATGCGAAACCTCAAGAAGGTTTGGGCCATTCGGACCTGGGAACAATGTTGAGCCCTTCACCCGCTTGGTCGTACAGAAGTGAGAATGAAGTTGTCGAGCAATGTCATCCATCCAAAAATCCTTTACGATCTTTGAAGACAGACTTGGCACTGAAGCCAGCAGTAGCTGCTTTGAACCAGTCCTTGTCAGAAGCGTTGAAACAGTCTGTGGCCAAAATGGAGGCCATTTTGCAACAAGAACTGGACAAACTTGTCCAAAGTCGAGAGATTTCACTGGTTCCCAGTGGTCCTAGCGCTCAAGAACTTGGTGCGTTCCAAAGATCCCAAGGATCTCGAGAATCTCCCACCACATCCGGCCCAGGAAAGACTGAAGCATGTGACATGCATCAGCCGGAGTCCCACAGACCCAGGGTGGCCAATGAGCAGAAACCTGAGTGGAGACTTTCGCAACGTCTACATTCGGTTTAGGAGCTTGAGCTGGCAAGATGGCGAACATATCCTGCTGGATTGAGCAACCCACGCAGGTGTCGGACTGTCCGTTGTTTCTATGCAGGAACATCCTGCTTAGTACCATTGCCAAAGGCGAATGGACGAACCCAACAATGCATGAAGACAAGCAAATACATTGTTTGTGCTTTAGTTTCTTTGAACGTGGAGACTACCTTTTTAAATGTGTATCTCTTGAAGGAATCGACTCTGAAGCATTCCTCTTCCAGACCCATGCTTTGCCAAAGTTCCCATTTTGTGAGGCCTCTTGACCTATGTGAATCAACTGAACCGAGACATTGAAGCGATCCAGCTCCTGAGCTCCGATGAATCGATGACACCGACGAAGCCGAAGCAGGCATAGGGATCACAAAAATTAACCAATCCTAGTTTCTTTTTTCTAGCTTCTTGTTCCTACTAGTAAGGCACTTGTTACTAGAAGCGATGCACTTGTTACTAGTAGCTTCTATGTGTAATAAACAAATTAACAAATCAAAACACATAGTTAACTATATAATCAGCTGGTCCCCTGGTCTCTTGATCCCTGGGTCGCCTGGTCCTTTGGCCCTATTCGTTTCTTGGTCCCTTGGTCCTTGGTCTTTTGGTCCTGCAAAGAAGCGCTGGGTGAAATCCTGTCATAGCTTGCACGAATCCTTTGTTCTGCAAAGATTTCAAGCAACGGTATTGAACTCGCGCAACTGCTTTGCACTGTCTGAGGATTCAAAACAAGGAACTGGAGGCAACGATCAATGCCCGCAGCCCTGAGGCACATGAAGCGGACCTCAGGTTGACAGGCGTCTTCAAGTGTCTTCCACAATTTAAGGGGCTGTGAGGTGATTCCTTTTAATCGCCCTGTGGGAGGGGGATGACGCGGAAACCAGGATAAGGTTTTAGAGTTAGATGAAATATGATGGAATGCCAGCTTGCGCTTCGAAGTAAACAGGCAATTGATTCTGTGCTTGGCAGTTTAAGTGGTGCCTCCCTGTGGTTTGACCATTCACTCACACTTCTTCCCGCATGCAGGGCATCGCGGAAGCAGAGAAGTCCAAGGTGCATGTCGTTTGTCGGCCAGCATTTTCCGACAAGGAGGTTTTTGCTGTGTTCTCCTTAAAGAGCTCTCATGTGAGAGACCTTTGCTTGTCGTAGAGGGCTGAAACTGTAGGGTCTTGCTTCTCTCAGCACCAGGCCCTGCTACTTGGGGTCTGTGCCTATGCTGGGGTACTTCTCAACCAAACTTTCGTTTGAACTATTTTGCACACGTCGTCGTGTTGTTGATCACGTGTGCAGGCTGCTGGACAAGAGAAAGAATCCAGAGCAACTGGGTTCAGATATGCAGCGTTGTTTTGGCACTTTGCCATGGAGCAGATTGGTGTGTGTATCAGAATTGAAGACACACCAGCGTGGAAGTCATTTACTTTCTTGATCTATTCAGACAAGTGATAACCAAAACCGTTGGATGGCTGTGCTGGCCTCGGAAAGGGCTTATCATCATTTGCATTCATTGCTGTGTGTTGTTGGTTGAAGGAGAACTGAGGGAGACGCATCAAAATTAGCCCAGCTGGAGACCCCAATAGCAAAATACAAACCGGGACAAAAAGAAAAATCTGGAAACAGCTGCTGTTTTCAACACATCGACCATCTCTTCCTTGGACACCATCATCACATAACCGGGACACCATCACAAAATGACCAGGGCACCATCAAAACATGAAGGAGACACCGTCACAACATGATTGGGACACCATCACAACATAACCGGGACACCATCACAAGGTGACCGGGACACCAGCATGACATGACGGGGACACCATCACAACATGACCGGGACACTATCACAAAATGACCGGGACACCGTCACATGACCCGGACACCATCAAAACATAACCGGCACACCGCCAAAAGATGACCAGGACACCATCACAACAGGACCGGGACACCATCAAAACATGACCGGGACACCGTCACAACATGAGCGAGACACCATCACAACATGACTGGGACACCGTCACAACATGACTGGGACATAATCGCAACATGACCGGGACACCATCACAAGGTGACCGGGACACCAACATGACACGACGGGAAACCATCACAAGATGACCAGGACACCATCACAACATGACCGGGACACCGTCACATGACCCGGACACCATCAAAACATAACCGGCGCACCGCCAAAACATGACCAGGACACCATCACAACAGGACCGGGACACCATCAAAACATGACCGGGACACCGTCGCAACACGACCGGGACACCATCAAAACATGACCGGGACACCATCACAACATGACCGGGACACCATCAAAACATGACCGGGACACCATCAAAACAGGACCGGGACACCATCACAACATGACTGGGACACAATCAAAACATGATCGGGACACCATCACAACATGACCGCGCCACCATCACATGATCGGGACACCATCAAAACATGACCGGGACACCGTCACAACACGACCGGGGCACCATCAAAACATGACCGGGACACCATCACAACATGACCGGGACATCATGAAAACATGACCGGGACACCATCACAACATGACCGGGACACCATCAAAACATGACCGGGACACCATCAAAACACGACCGGGACACCATCACAACATGACTGGGACACAATCAAAACATGATCGGGACACCATCACAACATGACCGCGCCACCATCACATGATCGGGACACCATCAAAACATGACCGGGACACCGTCGCAACACGACCGGGACACCATCAAAACATGCCCGGGACACCATCGCAACATGACCGGGACACCATCACAACATGACTGGGACACCTTCAAAACATGACCGGGACACCATCAAAACATGACCGGGACACCATCAAAACATGACCGGGACACCATCAAAACATGACCGGGACACCATCAAAACAGGACCGGGACACCATCACAACATGATCGGGACACCGGGACACCAGCATCACATGACCCGGACGCCATCAAAACATGACCGGGACACCATCCGCCCACCAGCTCTGACGGTGACCCGACGGCGCCCGTCCGCCTAATAGTTTTGCAAGACCCCATAGCATGGTTATTGGGGAATAAAAAGAAACATGCATCAATAAATAAACAAAAATGCATCAACAAGTAAATAAACATGCATCAAAAATGCATCCAAAAAACATAGAAAGAAACGAGCAAAGGAAGGAAGGAAGGAACGAGGCAAGAAAGGAAGAGGAAGCAAGCAAGGAAGGAAGGAAGGAAGGAAGGAAGGGGGAGGCGCTGCGCCCTCCCCCGCACCCTCTCCCGCTTTTAATTGTTGAGCGTTTTCATTTCATTCATTTCATTTGTTCATTGACTCATTCATCCTTTCTTCCTTCTTTCTTTCATTTTCATGTTCATTTCATGTGATTTTACTGTTTGGGTTTTGTTATTTTGATCGCTGCTTCGAATGGATTATTGTTCTTCCCTCTGCACGTGTGGGTCCGTTTTTTTCTTTTTTCTTGATCACACTGACATATGTTTATTTTTTGATGCATTTATGTTTTTTTGTTGATCCCCCGCCCGTTAATGGAATATTGCTCTTCCCTCTGCACGTTTGAGTCCGTTTACGTTGTTTAATGTTTTTTTGATTCATTTTTGTTTTTTTTCTTGATCCCCTGAAATATATTTATTTTTTGATTCATTTTTGTTTTTTTATTGATCCCACAGCCGAGAACTGAGATAGACCTCACTTATTTGAACCACACATCGTGGCGTGGCATACCGCGTATACCCTCCCTGTTGACTGCCAGTGTGGCAGTGTCACAGAAACAAGGAGCTTGAGTTACCCAACCAAACGGATTTGGCAGTTCTTCTTGAGCGGGACACAATCTCAAAGGGAGGGAAGAGATTCCATTGAATGGGAATGTGCTAAAGAGGAGTTTTTGAGCGGGCACTGGAGCACCAAGCAATGGCACAGATTTAAGACGTTTCTGCATAGTCATCATATTTTCTTTCTTTATTTACGCATCGTTCTGAGTTGCACATCATTTGAGTGTCCTCTTGAAGATGCCCATCTTCTCCCAGGAAATTGCTGAGATCAAACAGCAGATTCAGAAGACTCAAGATGCAACAGCTGAGAAGGCGATGAGACATGATGTATCCCTACTACCCGGTTTGGAGGGTTACGGCTTAGGAGGGTTGAATCTTGGCATGCACTGTAAACACTGACGACAAGCACGAGATATAGCTTTCCCAGTATCAGCTAGGAAAAGAAGTGTAGTGTGATCAGCTGCTGTGATTCAATTTTCGTAACAATGATGGCCCTGAAAACCCTGACGGCTTCAGGAAAAAGACTGCTCATATGGCATGCATGCTGTGATCGAATTGAGCCAATGTGCACAATGGTGGCAATCAGGAAGAACATGAAACATGTAACATTTCCTTGACACATGTAAAGAAGCTGGAATCTTTAGTGCTTAGCTGTGACCTGGGTGGCTCTTTGCAGGATCGCGATGTAGACAAACTCTCTAATGACCTGGAGCAGTTTGGGGACCCAGCTCTCAAGCATTGGAGTCTGCAAGTGCGTCTTCCATATCCTTTGGTTGTTTGACCTCCAAGAAAAATCATGCCGCTCAACAGCCGTTGTGCATCCAGTTAAACTTGGTTGGTACTTGCTTGGTGCATAAAGGGTCCAGAAGGTGAAGTTGAACTTGTTATGCACGCCAAGGTGCAGGCCATACATTTGGAATATTGTGAAGCAGGGTGGCCCAGGAAGCGCCATCACATCCTCGCACACCTGACCAGGCCTCAAGCCCTGTCTACACTTAAGGGTCCCAAGTCGGTACGAGCAACATGGGCATCTTTGATTCTTCATTTTTGTTTCCTTCTTCGGAGAACAGCATACCATTTTCGCTTTTTGCTCTTCTTGCAACGGAGCATGTCTGATCAAGAACTCTACCGAGATCAGATCTCCAGAGTCCCCAGATGTCGATGTTGCGCAGCTGATCCCCGCCGGCATCGTGGGCCCATGATCTCCCACTGGATCCGCCTGAGGTTTCTAAAAGAGGAGATCCCAGGACTTGTTGAGCAGGGCTATGAGGGTGACCAGCCCTCCTTGAAGGCCGGGAGAGAAAAGATGGAGGCAATGGGAGGGGTCTCTTTCAGCAGCACACATTTGGACTACGATGGACTCTATATTTTGGTTTGGCATGACACGTTGGCATACTATATAGTATACCATGATATCTCCATAACAGCTGGCCTGCAAGGCCAGCTTGAGTTCCATTTTCATTTGATGTCAATTCTGGACTAAATTGACTAAATGATTGTAAAAGGTCAATGGATGAGGATAACGCATACGAATACGGACATGAAGTTCCACAAGCAACACATACTTTCTAGAGGGAATATCAAGGGTGTCCTCACATATCGTTTGCGTCAATGGCAAGCACCATAGGTCTTCGAAATGCAGGAATCAGGAAGTGTCAGCTTGATTTCGGCAGGTGTCTGCGCCCGACGAGCATGATGGTCAGATGTGGGGCATCCCAGGGCTCTGTCCAGTTGATTTAAGACCGCTAGTTGTTGCGGCCTTGGACTTTTGACCGATGCATTCAAGAAATTTGCTTCGGCACACCGAGCAGGCAGCAGCATTGTCGAATGTCACTTCTCTCTTTACTTTTTCTCAGAAGTTGGTCCAACAACTCCAATGTATCAGGTTGGAGGCCATCGCTTTTAGGTTGGAGGCCATTTTTTTTGCAGGAGCCATCACTTGATGTATGTCGAGGAGGTGTCGTCAGCCCGACCTTTGAGGGTTGACTCGGAGGGCTGGAAGCACTTGGGTCAGTCTTGGGTAATTGTTTGGGTCGAATTTACTTGTTGATCTCTCATGGATTCTGCAGACAGGTCAAATTCCTCATGATATTGAATACCCCCTCTATAGGGCTGTCCACTTCAAAAACTATCACAAACTATCTTCTTTCAGATTCTTTCAGAAAGGATCTCTCTGTCAGCTGTGCTGATTGGGGAAAAACATGTCATTGAGAATAACATTTCAAAACTTTTTGCCTCTTTCACCCCTTTGCACTGAGAAAAGAGAGGCGCTGATGCTCTTCCGCGCTTGCTTGGGTGGCGCAGATGCTCGACAGACGGTGGTGCCGGCCAAGGTGCGGCAGACAGGGGGACTTACGGATTCTTCAGAGTGGCCATCGGAGGGAGATTGGTTGGTTTGGGTTGGTGTTTTGATCTTCCAGTATTTCTGGAATGTCCACAAGACAAGAGGAGCCCTGTTTTGTGGGCGTGAGTGTTCCTGCTATGAAACGGAAGAACAGATAGTCAACAGAGTTCACATTGGAAGACATTATGCAAGTCGAATCCTAGCAATGAACTAACTCTGGAAGCATTGCATCAGCAGCATGTAGCTGTTCATGTCAGGAATTAACTTTTGCTTTGCTGTTCTGGCACGCAGGCGGCCGAACTGTGTCTCCTTTTGTGTCAGGTGCCTGCAGGCGGCCTGAAGAAGCCCACAGACTTGCCCTCAATGGCACACTTCTCCTTGGCGACCACCACGCAGATTGACGACGACGATGACGATGATGCGACTGGGCAATTGAAATACCTTACTGTCGAAGGTGGAGGTTTTCTGGCACCGGGAATCATCGGTTTCCGAATCCAAGGTGTACTTCGATCCTGTTGCGAGTAGGAGTCAAAGCTCCCATGCTGTTACTGAGTGTCACCCTCACCAAGGTCTAGGGCACTTGAGAGTTTGAGTACAATTTCTTTCCTCTATTGCCAAGGAAGCTGGAATTGATCAAGGGCCGGTACCTCAGAACGCTGGAATGAGCGGCGCTGCGGGGGAAGTGGGGACTCCTTGGGGACTTCTGGCAACCTGTGTGCTCACGGGTCTGTCATGCAATCGAGGAAAGTAGATCAACACTGTCGCTGTTTGTTGACCCTTTGGTCGAAGACCGACTGAGAGGAATGCGGTGCCGAGAGGTTGACACCTGTGAAAACATCAAACAGCTGCAAGTCCAAGAGCCAGCTAAGCGTGCCTCTGCACTGCATCGTGATGCACTGGCCCTGCTGAACATCACCTTCAGGGTACGACATTGCCTGAAAGACTTCGAGTGTCAGGGTCAGGCCTGGTTTTGAGTACACTGGAATGCGAGGTCTTCAGGGAATCCCAGGTGCTCAGATCGCGAAAACCAAATTATTGCATATGATAGAGACTTTAGGCTTCTGGCAGCACGGCTTTTCGACTGCAAAAGCCACCCAGTGCTTCCTTCCTCTTCGTGACACCCGGTCGATAAGCATTGTTCGGCACACCAGAACCTTTGTGCTCCACCCAAGGACCTGGAGCCGCACTGAGCTGCGCCACAAGGTGTGGGATTGGCTGAAGGATGGAGTAGCATGTGGGTCAGAGAAAAAGCATTGACCCGTTCCGCGACAAAGATGTACTGCATTGGGAAAGAGGATTTTCCTCAAAGAATAGTCAATGAGGGACTCGTAGCTGGCAGATTGCAGCTGCATTTTTAGTGGCATGTTTCTGCCGGAACGAAAGCACTGACCAGGGGTCACATCTTTGAGCAACCAAGTTCCGTGTCTTGGAGCGTTTGGCAATGTCTGCGTGTCAGCCGTTGGGCAACCTGCAGGCCATTGAGAACATCCGCCGACGCCGGAAGCGACAGCCTGGTCCAGGTGGGCCCAGGAGTCTCGACAGTTTGCATACACAAAGTTGTGAACAACATGACGTTCTTTTTGGGGTTGGAAGGTGAGAACCATTGAGAACCGTTCTTTGCAATACTTCTTTTGTGAGTCTGAGTTCTGTTCGGCGCGTTTGCAGTGAAATTTGCTGCACCTAGAGAAGGCATTTGATTCTTCTCTTTGCAAACGGACATCGAAAGGCTGTCATATCAGGACTTTTGAGTTGACCGTGAAGAAACGATACGGTCAAAACAAGGATGCCCCATGAAACATGCAGTACAGTATAGTACAGTCGATGTGCGAACTCTGCAAAACCCAAATCGATACCTGCAGCGTCCACGTCCTAACTTTAAACCAAAACAGCTCAATTGTTTCTTTCTTTGGAACATCGATTCATATGGAGATGAGATATATGGAAGCGTTCTTCTCGGAGACAATCCAACTCACCAAGTTTAAGGGGTTGACCAGACGGCAGTGACGACTCACGAGGACCAGAATGGCCTGCGTCATTATTGTGAAATCGATGTTCTTTGCTAGACCAATCAACCTAAGAGCGATGACCTCCAACCTAATAGCGAGGCCAAATCGACACTGATGTTCTTTGCTAGGCAGCAAGATGGCCGGGCTGGGTGACGAACGCCGGGTGGAAGAGGGCGATGACTCTGGGATGAAGCACCTTGGCCATTGCAGGGAACTGCCCCATGACATTTGTTCACGGTGAGCAAACAGATCACAGGGCTTCTCATTGAGTGCACCATCAAGTTGTATTCTGCCACAGCAGCCAGGATTCATTGTTGAGCACAACGGACGGAGGTGATTGACACAGTAGAAGAATCAAGCTGTCGTCATAAACCGCTTTACTCTGCCCAAGATACGAATAGCAACAAACAGCACGAACAAACTTTGTCCGAGTACATGCTGGACGGCGGGCTTGCAAGTGAAACAGTAATTACATATCATAAGATCTGTTGGATGGTTTGACGAACTGGTTTCTCGCCAAGGAGGGAAGCATCACTTCCGTCCAAGGAAACCCTCGCAGGCCTGGGCCATTGATTCTGTTAGCAAAAGGGTTTGTGAAGGCTTAAAAGAAGCACTGGTGTCACGGAATTCGGGAATTTGCTTTGAAACCATAGAGAATAGCGGAGCGAGTGCTGTTCCTTTTGACCACGCTGAACCAGGGGAATCTCAGTTCAGCAAGAGCCCTAGCGTGTGCGGGGGCCGAGAGGATTGGCATGCCTCGGCGGCCTCAACTATCCTATCTTGGTCATTTACCCAAGCTAGAATCTACTGGTAGAAGCTTATGTCAACTTCTTGTGAACTAGCTGGAATCAATGTCGTCCGGTGACTGGCGGTTTCAAACGGTTCAAGATGTTGATCGAGCTGTCACTTCTTAGAAAGATGATCGGTCCTTTGCCTCCATGGTGCACTCCAAAGTACGGCACAGTTGGAGCGGACTCTTGAATCTATAGAGATCCGAGTTTCTGATTGAACATGAAACCTCTCAGTTTCTCACTGGTCTCACCATCGGCCAAAAGCCTGAACAGGTCTGTGAGGTTCTGCTCAGTTGATTTGCCCACATGTTTGCGGTGTTTGCAAATGCTCGCAGGGTGGGTGGCAAGGATGAGGAGGCCCTGGTCGGGGGATGGTAGCCGTTTCACCAGGTGACACGCGTTAACTACCCAAAGTGGAAGAATGGGGGAGCACGGTTGTCCTTTGTAGAGCTTTTGCTTGGTTGGTACCCACTCTGATCATACCATATCATACCATTTGATAGTTGACATTCTTTGTGGACCTGGCCGCTCGGCCACCTGCGCTTGCTCGCTTGCTCGGCCTCTTCTCGCAGGCGGGTCGTGAAGAGATGTGGTGGCGCGGGGCCGGCCGCGAGAAGAAGAAGTAGCGAGAGCCGGCGGAAAAGCCGCTGGCGAGCGCCCCGGTGGAGTTGGACGGTTTGGAGCGGGCTTTCTGGTGGCCAGATGGATGGAAGGATCTCAGCCTATCTGAGGGTCACACATCATCACGACCTGAGAGACAAAGATAGAAGATAATGTTTGAGTCATTGCCGCAAATGGCAGTGCAGTATTATGCATCGTGTGTATTGGTCGAGCAGGTCAAGCCTTGTAGCTTTTCCGTCCAGATGTTGCACTATTGTAAGAGGGGTTGGCTGCTTTTTGATCCTACTTCCAATTTGTTTGAAACTAATCATAGTCAACATCAACACAAAAGTGTCGCGTCTTTCGCGGCAGAAAGGGCCATACGCAGTAAAGGCTAATTCTCCTTGTGGATTATATATCCCTGAGAGATCTGTCGAGCCATCTCTTTCTTTTCATTCTTTCGACTTGGCGAAGGCACAGAACCTGTCAGGACCCGTCAGAACCCCTCCTTTCTTCATGTGGTCACCAGCCGGGCCAACGTGGATTGGCAGCCTGCCGGGGGCATTGGATGGTGTCCATTGGGTGCTGGTCGTCTGCCAACGTAGGACTTGCTTGTTGTCCAAGGCAAGGGCTGAGATTGAGAGAACACCTTTGCAATGCAACAGACATTCAAGGGCACTCAACAGCGCACCATTCTCTCAACAGTTGGGCATGCAATTGAGACTGATTCTCCTCTGCCAGCATTTGCTAAAGGCAAGCAATGGTCATTTGGTCTTTGCTGATGCATGTAAAACTTGCGTGCGAGTCGGCAGGGAAAAAAGAGCTTTTTGTCTGACGCATTTGGCATCTTTCGGAGACCTCCAGATGGTTGTGTTTTGTCCACTGGTTTTTTCGAAGACTTGGAGTCTTGGAGCCTGAACACCGCGACATACAGTACAGCTCACCGCAGCTTCCAGCTTGGGTCCCTCGAAAAAGCGCCGACGTCGTGAGCACAGGGCCGCGCAACCAAAGCTCAGCTGGGAAGACCTTTTCGACCTAATAGTCTCAACTCGTGCGAAACTTACAAAGAACCAGGCAAGCCAGCATTTGAGGCGTCCCGGTACTTTGGCCACCCTTTTGCAAGTGACGGAACTGGTCAATTTTGACATGAATTCCATCATGAATCCTTGTGACATCTGGATCCCAGCCAAGATTGTTGGACAAGACATGAAAAGACTAGGAGCAAGGACGCTACTAGGAACAAACGGCATCGCTCTAGGAGCAAGGACACTGCTTATTGGACATTTTGTTCCCACCGGAGCGACTTGACATGGCGTCTATTGCTTTGCGGAATGCTTTGAAACGAAGCTTGTCAGGGAGGCGGGCGGTGCAATCAAGGGGCCAATGTTGACACTGTTTTCAGGGTATCCGGGACCCTTATGTTACGAGGGCGCGTGTCAACTTTGCTCAGGCAACACTCTCGATTTGAAGCTTCTTCAACCAGTCAGAACCACCACCATCAAACCAATTGATGCAACCAAACATTCAGCACGCTTTTGTCCATAGCGAGTCCTTTCCGGTGCCTTCATGTGCTTCCCATGCCCTGTCGATGTAAGCCATTCTTTTGCTATTCGTTTGCTTTCTTCGCCGTGGAGTGGTTGATGCATCATCTCCAATGTGAGGACTACATCTCGAGTCAAACAATTGAATACCAGGCTGGCCCCCTGCTTGGGCATCCGCTTGCGAGAACTTCCGCAGACCAAGGCGCCAAGCTGATTGAAGTTTCCCTTGTGCTAGACCATCTGCAGGAAAGGTTCTTGGTCCTCTCAGTCATGGCAGATTGACTCCCTAGTAACTGGTGTCCAATGGTGTCGATCCATTGTTCCCATGAACACCAGGTGGGCTCACGAACACGTGCTGTCCACGATCAACCGAGCCAAACCGAGCGGCCGAACCGACTCAGGGCTGCTGCCGAAGCACCGAAAGATCCAACTCCACCGCCCGCAAGGCCCAGTGGCGGAGCGGTGCACCGTGCCGAAGCGACCCGACGCGGTGACCGGTGACCATCAGGCCGTCCAGGAGGCCGCCAAGATCCCCCGCGAGCGAAACCGGAACTTCAGCGGCTTGGAGAAGTTGACGGCCCGGGTGGGCCAAGCATGGCCAAGAAGTAGCAACAAGAAGCTACTAGTCAATGATAGTCAATGAGTCAAAGGTGTGTGTTGAAGGAATCTATGACTGCTGTAGGCCCGTGTGTTGTAGTTCCATGGCTAGGGTACCTAGAGCATCCTAGGAACCGGCCTTTTTGCTGAAGTGGCTGTCCATTCAATAGCGGTGCGTTCCGGTTTTGGTCGGCGCAACGAGGTGAGACACGATTGGGAAATGCTCCTGCCTTGCAATCTGACTAATCCAAACTTTCTTGCTGCCAGCATTTCCCAGATCCCAAGCTTTCTTACGTGGAGATGTCTCCTACAATGGGATACCAGATTCCAGAGAAGACTGAGACGTGATGAAGTGGCCCGGAGAGAAGAATATCTGGAATTGTCTGGCTGCGCTGAGGTATCATTGCTCATGTCGATCATGGCAAGAGCACTCTTTGTGATCGGCTGCTGCAAACTTGTGCCTTGGCTCCGGTGGTGGACCTTCCAACACGGGCATGGTGCGATGAGAGTGACAAGGCTCTGCTTTTTCGTGGTTGCAATTTTTTCGTGGTTGTGCGAACGCTTTGGTGGCGGACATTTTTGGCAAACTTTGAGCTGATAGGTGATTGGAGCTAGAATGCCAAAAATGTGAAGAGCTCTCTGGCGCGAGACTTTGATTTAAGGTGGCGTGCTACCACCCAATGCCCCGGACCAGTTCCTGGATGGCCTGGAGGTGGGTGCAAATATCGAACATGGGAGGACTGGACTGGTACGCTCCGATGGGGTAGGTAGATCCAGTGTGGAAGCTTTTATATACGCTTCTCGACATTCACGGCGTAACCGGGTGTATTTTTGGAGCCAAATCTGTGGACTGGAAGGATGACGGAGTGCACATGTGCAACTCGAGGAAACCAGACACATTGACAGTTGAGCAAGCAGTGCTTTTCAGTGCTTTCCATTTTCAATTTGACAGGCCAATTGATGCTCCTTCTCTAAACATTCCCTGTCCACCCTTTTAGACACGCACATGGCATTGTCGTGCTTCACGAGTTGGCTGCCTGGTTTTGGTGCTATCCTATCGATCTCAGGTCGCGTTGGGAGGCGGCCTGAACCCTCTTGGATGAAAAACATGCTTTCTCAAAGCAGTTGGTTCACGTGGCCTTCACTTTGGTAGAAGATCTGGCCTGACTGGGCCTGTTTTGGCCGGTCACAGGTGGAGCGGGCACGAGGCATTACGGTCAAGGCGGGACACGGTCAGGGTGCAGCAGCCGAGGCCCTGCCTAGGCCCTCAGGCCAGACTCCAGACTCCTTGTACTCTTTGGAGTCACACTCTCAAGTCTTGCCTGCTTGGAAGAGCCGACTTTCAGCAGGACTTGTATCATATTGTATCCAAGCTTTCAGAGGAATTGAGTCCCACCTGAGTCTACATGATGTTGCGATTTGGGCTCAAGAGTACTCCAGGACTTGGATTGATTGTGAACCCACACGCTTCCGATGCGGCTGTTTCGATATGTCCTCTTTGTGCTCCTAGGTGTCAACCAGGCGCAGGTGGTTGATGTCCTGACAAAGGTGAAAACTTTTAGGGACTCAGGCCTGGCCCTTCTCGATGGTCTTGCTGAAGAGTTGAAAAGCAAAAACGAGGAGGCCTTGTCTGAGAAGACCAAGAAGTTCCGAGAGGATTGGCTGAGTGTCCTGGGAGTGCACAAAGGCCTCACAGGTTTGGCCAAGGATTTCACCATGAACTATTTTGGTCGAGAAGCCTACCACAGCGTGAATGGTCCCTTGGTGGATGCCATTAAGGGGGCCTCGGCAGCGCTGGGCAGGAATCCGGATGCAGCAGCATTTCAGCAAGCTTTGAAAAAGGTTTGCTTTGAAGGGAAGCGGATCTTCCAGGCGGGAGGTTCTTTGCACGAGATGCTCTCTGACTTATTAGAGTTGCTGGATGATAAACAAGTGAAAAAGGCACTGCCAGCTGCGTTGCGCGGAAGCCAGCTTATAGATGCATTGAACTACTTCGCTGGACCTCGAGAAGAAGCACACCAAGAAGAGCTCTAGGAGGAGGCGTCACACCTGCAAGGTCTACACTGCACAAAGATGCAATTTGTGCCTTTGCGAAGCGGGATAAAAGGCATTTTCAACTCAAACGGCACCTGGAATGGCCAAGCAAAAGCAGACATGTCTTGGGCAGGCAGACTTAAAGAATGCATAGACCCGATGTGCACACTGTGTCTAGGCGCAAACCTGCTCTCTGCTGGTGACCTCGGAAACGGATGGTGGGGTAACTCAGATCGGTCACACGCGGCGAAGAGAGACCCGTTCAAAGGTCCACCAACCTCAACTGTATATGTTGATGATGCAAGATTCTTTCTGGTTTCGTCAAGAATTAAAGTGAGCAACATCAGTAGACTTTGTTTAGCAAGGAGTGAGTGATACCAGATTGTGTGTTCAAAACCCAATAGTGCGATAGTGAATCAGGTTTTGCAAAAAACATGGGGCCTGTAAGCAGTGCCTAGGACATTGCGTAAGAACACAGTACTTGTACCACCCTTTTGCACGCGCGCAGGCTTGGGATACTGCTTGAGTGGACAATATTGGGTCCGTGCGAAGATTGCACATGAGCAACCCAAATGAGAGACTCGCAACATTTCTTGGTGTCAAAGGAAGAGAATACGCACGCACCAATGGATGACGGGAGAATACTGAGGAAACCTTTCCTCATGTTTGAGAAGAACTGAGGCCAAAATTACTTGCTCAATCTCATTGACACCCCCGGGCACGTGGACTTCTCTTACGAGGTTTGCCTGCGCACTGGATTTAGTCTTCTGCTGGTGCTGGAATGCTGGATGCAGATATGCACTCTATCCCATGCAGATGAGCATCTTTACCGCTCAAGATCATTTGGCTCGAGCGCCCTCGCATGCACTTCGCTCTCGAGCTTCTACGAGAGGCTCGGTGGTTTTGGCCTTCTCCCGCTTCGTGTGGAGGCGGCATAAGCTGGGCTCTGGCGCTCCTGTGCTGCATTCTGGCCTTCTGCATAGGCTGTTGTTGTGGGGGGACAGTTGTTCTATTCTCCCTGTCCTCGCGGCTGCGGAAGGCCGTTTTGTGGTTGGTGGCAGGGTGCGCATCGAGTGCACTCCAAGTTGATCCTGCACCCGCGACTGAGGTGGTCCGGCGGCGGTTGGCCCAATACCGAGGTGATTAGTGTATGCTCCCCAAAGACTCGGAGGTGGACGAACTCGCTCTCGAGGTTGGTCAACTGAGGATTAGGGTTTCCAGGCGAGAGGGCTATAGCGGCTCACCTTTACGAGTCAGTGCTTCAGCTTCCTCACAGCCTTCCAGTTCACAGCTCCCCAGCCAGGGTTCCCTTGCAGGCCCTGAAGGGGCCACCGGGCCTGTGGCCCAAGAAGACGGAGTGAGCCTGCATTCTTGGTCGGAAGTTGGACCAGGGCAAGAGCAATTCCGTGCAGCGCCTTGGACTCAGGAGTGGTTTGAAGCGCTGGCCATTGCTGATTCACCCTCAAGCCTGGAACAGTTGGACTTGTCGCCCATTGCTTATTTGGAAGCAAGGTTGAGGACAACAAGTGCTGGGTGGTCACCACGGGCGAGGCTAGCCCGGGCTCTTCGGGCAGGTGTGCTCGCCAGGCATTGGCTGGACAACCGGCCGCTTGAGGCCGCAAACATCGGGGGGCCGACTTTGCCCTCGAGATTCTATATCGTGCTCAAGGCTGGGCCTGGTCTCGAGCCTGGCTGGACCGCTGATTATACCACCTACCTGGCACAGGTGTGCCGCCGGCCTCACGTCTTCTGGCCGGGAACGATCAGTCAAGCATTTGCATCAAGAGCTGAGGCAGACGCCTACCTGCTTGGCGCCCAAGAGCCATGGCCTCGGGCGCTTCCGCTCCGCCCTTGACAGAGAGTGCTGTGCGGGCTCTGTTGGACGACACCCCTCCGACCGGGCCCCTGCCAGGGGTGTTTTTGGTGCTTCCAAATCGGGAAGATGGTTCTGGCCTCCGAGCTCTCGGCACGCTGATCAGGGTTCGTGCAGGCGGCTTTATGGTGGCCCTTCCCGACCTTGGCGAGGTCGCCGAATTTCTGCAGTCTCTGACCTCGGAGGAGGGTGCAGAAGATCTGATAGCCATGTACACCACCGAGGTCGAGATGGAGACCATCCGAGGAAGAGGCCTTCAAGTTGGACCTTGCCTCTTAGCAGATGTGCTCTGGACTTTCGTGGGGCACTTCAAGAAAGGTCATCCTTTGCGGAATCCGTCCGCCTACGAGGTCCTCCACTTCACCCAGGGAGGCACTGCTTGTCGCCCTCGGCGTCCCGCCCTGCTGGCGTGTTCGGAGCAATGGATCCACGAGATCATGGACGACGACACTGCCGGCGACTATGTTACTGGCGAAGACGAGATGTGGCCAGAGCCCGCTGCTTCACTGGAGGATCCTCTTTCTCCGGGGGAAGATGTGGCGGCAATGCAGCGGCGAATCACACAACTGGAAGCAGTTCTCCAGGCTCGACCTCCTCCCCCTCCGGGAGGCACCTTTGCTCAGGCTTCAAGATCTGGCCCTGCTCCACCTCGAGGAGTTCTTTTTGGAGGCTTGCCAGCAAGCAGCCATCAGGTGCCCCCTCAAGATGCCGTCGAGAGGCTAAGAGCTTTGGCTGGCGTCGCACCTGTGAGGCTGGGCGCACACGAACGTGCCACCAGAGAACAACGCCCGGAGAGGATTCTAGAGTCGTTGCAGCAAGAGGCCGCCGAACCCGCAGAGCTCGAGGAGGGCATTACAGAGCTGGAGGCAGCGGTGTCAGATCCGCTCCAACGCACGCTGGTGCTTCAGATGAAGCAAATGGCCTTGCTGACCCGCCAACAGACCCAACGCCAGCCGCTGGACCCACTTGCTGCCGCGTTAGCTGGAGGTTCAGACGGGCAAAACACGGGCAGTGGCAGTGTCAAAGGCTGTGCCGCCAGAGAGGCTTATCTGAAGGTGATGCAAGACCACGGCAAAGTGGCTATGGTCGTCATGGACCACGCTTGTCGGGAGCTGGGTTTGGAGAGCAGTCAGGTAGGCCCAGGACTCATGAAAGAATACATCGAGAAGAAGTGCCCGCTCGGGGACAACCGCCTGTTGACGCAGCAAGCGTACCTCTGGGCCTTCGCCTGGGAGACCGGCTTCCGTCTGAACGATGTGGTGTTGATGGGGGTCGCCAGCCGGGGCCTTTTGTTCATCGACCAAGCGGCCACGGACTACGGCAAGACGAATTTGGCTTGGCTGCTCACAGCCTTGCCAGATCCCCAATTCAGCATCGTGCAAAGGAATCGGCATCGCCAGAGTCTGACTCCTTACAGCCGGCTGGCATCTGCCAGCTGGGTGGGGGCAAATGTAGCCTTCATGAAGGATTTGGATTACCTCGAGACGAAAATCAAGAGCACGAACAATTTCAGCCTCACCAAGGACGACAAGGGGGGCGGAGAAGACACCGCCCCCACTCAAAGGAAGACACCATGGAAGCCAAAGAGGAAGAAAAAGGAAGAGAGCGATGCGAGCTGAAGCCTGTGACCGCTGCTTCACGGTCGGCGCACCCCTCCTGTCCCCCCTTGCCGACCTCTTCTTTGCCAGAGCGGAGGAATTGGATTCCTACTGCTGTCTTCGGTCGGGGGAGACTCGAGGGTGGCACAGCTGACATTTCCAAAGGTGAAGCCAAGGCGGAAACTGGGGGCAGTTCGAGTCAAGTGAAAGGGAAGAAGCCTTCATGCGGACCTGGGGCACGTTTGAACCCTCAGATCAAAGGAGAAACCTTCCCGCAGCCAATTAGGTGCATCGAGTTGGTGGCTGCTTCACTGAGGACGTCCTTGGCGTGTCCCAAGCTAGGGTCGTTCATCCAGAGGAGTCTGACGCCTTGCCGCAACGCTTCAAGTTCAGGTCACCCTAGTGGCGACCTATGGCCGTGTCCCCCACCAACCAGTGGTTGTTGGACACCTGCCAACTTAGTTTCTCCGCGCCGGCGGAGGCGCCAGCGGTTCTATCGTGCGAGAGCTTTGTGCCTGCAACACCTGGTGATAGCTTTGAATTGGATGAGTTTGGGTTGCTGCACCTCACCTCCTGAGCGCGCCCGGGTCGGCTACCCGATGACGCCTGCTCAGCAGGACATGCTCGAGCGGCTTGAGGATCTGATAGATTACTTCCTGAAAGGGGAGGATGTCTCCTATGATTCCTTGGGCAGGGCCGGCGAGAAGCTAAGCAAATTGAGTGCGCATTCGTTTTCGCTTTTTGAGTCATCGTGTTCATTGAGCCTTGGTGACATTAGTAGTTTTTTAAGATCCATCCATGCTTCATTTGATGCATACTCGAAACCACGTTCAAAGACACCCCAAAGTGGCCAACAAGATGCTGGAGAGCCCCAGGATTCAGAGATCGAGGCAGCAGACGTGCCCCGGCCAACGAGACCTGAAGTCAAGATCCCAAGCAATGCCTGCCAAGCTAAAGCTGTTCAGGCCTCTCGAATAAAGTGGAAGCTTGCACCATCTTTTGACCCTCGTCCTTTTTTTAAGTGACGGCATTGTTCGGCGGGCCTTTGAGGATCCTGATTTCTTGAGGAAGCCGGAGGGGCTCTGGCCTCGTATGGCGAAAGCGCAGGTCCATGCCACCCGAGATGAGGTATTGGCGCTAGCATCCAAGTGGGACGCCCTGGGAGCCTGTCAACTGGTGAAGAAGGAAGAAGTTCGAGCTGATGAAACAGTTGGCATGTTCGCCGTCCCCAAGGACGACGAGTTTGACAGGTTGATTCTTAATCCAACTGTTGTGAACTCCCGTAGCTACCCGTACTCCCGATTCACCAAAACGATTGCTCCGGGGTATCTCATTGCCCTGATTCAACTTGCGCCAGATGAGCGCTTGGTGTGCTCCTCGGATGACCTGTGCGAATTTTACTATACGTTCAAGGTCTCTGACCTGCGAGCAAGAAGGAACGCCATTGGTACTCCTTTCAAAGCTGAAGAACTTGCTCACTTGACTTGTTTTGATGCCACCAAACATAAGGGTGAGTTACTTGTGTGTTTGGCGACGCTCGCAATGGGAGACTCCTTGGCTGTTGAGATTGCACAGCAAGCGCGCGTCAACTTGCTGAAAAACAAGGCTGGGTGCATGCGCCCAGAGGAGTGTTTGCTTT